ATTATTTCTTAATGTGTATTTATTTATTGGTTGTAAAGAAAAAAGGTCGTTAAAAACAAATAAAGATAAATCGTTTTTCCATATAAAAGTAAAACATAAGACATTAAATATGTTCAGTTTATAAACATCTAGAACCTTCATATAATCAAAAAAACATTTTGAATGTGAAAAGCGATCCGCATAATTAACTACGCGGATTGCGTGTTTCTGACGGCGATAAAGATCTTGTAATTTACTTTTATCCGCACTTCCCGAGGTGATGATTGCATAATTTATATAATTATGTATAAATGAATAATAGAGTTGGGTTAAGTTTTTTTTGTTTAGATAATTTCGGACTTTGTATAAAATGCCAATATTTTTGGAAATTTTTGTGCTTATATGATCAATATGTTTTCTCCAAGTAATATTCTCATCAAGATAAACACCTAAGAATTTTATAACAGTATCTCTTTTTATTATCGTTTCATCAATATAAATTTGAGGCATATTACTTGGTAAAAAACGTTTTTTTGCGCAGGAGTGAAAGATAATCCATTTTGTTTTGTTAATATTTAAAGTTAATTTATTAGCTTTGAACCAATTAGAAATGTGATTTAGTTCTTTGTTTGTAGTTGAAAAGAGTTCATAAATATCAGTATGGGATAAAAAATTAGTATCATCGGCGAACATTATACTTTTCAATTTGGAAGCTTTGTTTAAGTCGTTTACATAGATTAAAAATAGTAGTGGTTCGAGAATAGAACCTTGTGGAACACCACAGGTTATGCTCAGGGGTTCACTTTGCTGACCATTATTAATATAAACAAGATGTTTTCGATTTGTTAAATAGCTTTCAAACCATTTTAAGATTCTATTGTTTAAACCATAATGTTTAATTTTTTGGATTAAAATGTGATGGTCGACCGTATCAAAAGCTTTTGATAGGTCAATAAAAACACCTAGTGTATATTGGGATTTTTCAAAAGATTCAGAGATGTTATGTATAAATTGAATAATGGCATGTTCAGTTAAACTCCCTTTTCTGAAATCATATTTATTGTTATGAAGTAAGTTGTTGTAATTAAAATAACTGTATGCCCTATTTAAATATAATTCTTTCTAAAATTTTAGAAAATATAGAAAGAACAGAGATGGGACAATAATTGCTGATATTGGATCTGTCGCCTTTTTTATGGATAGGGGTAACCCTGGCAAGTTTTAAACGTTCAGGAAAAATACCTTGATGGATAGATGCTCTGAAAATTTTAAAAAATAATATTTTTTAATTGTTCGTAGCAATCTATAACAATATTTGCGTTTATTTCATCTGCACCTGGTGCTTTTTTTTTGTTTTAAAGATTTGAAAGCTTTTTCAAACTCATCAAATGATAGTTCAGCAGATAATTCTTCAGAGCAAATATTTTTATCAATAGGTATCAAAAAATCATAAAATGAAGTTTGGGTTTTTGGTATTTTACTTGACAGAGTTGATCCAATTTCAGTAAATTATTTATTGAATTTATGAGCTATTATTTGTGGTTCATACAAGCTATTGTTATCGACTTTAAGCATTTGTGGCAAAGAGCTTGAGCATGTTTTTTGTTTTCCAGTTATTTCTTTCAATACTAGCCAAGTGCTTTTTGAGTCATTTTTAACTTTATTAATTAATTTTGAATAGTAAGTTTTTTTTAAATTTTTTCGAATTTTTTCGAAAAGATTTTTGTAATCTTTGTAAATTTTTTCGCTGGCTGGTGTTTTTGTTTTTAGATATTTTATGTATAGTTTTTGTTTAGTTTTGGATGATTTTTTGAATCCTTTGGTAATCCAAGGATTATTAAAGTGTTTTGTTTTTAATGTAATTGTAACAATTGGGAAATTAGATTCGTAAACAGAGGTGAATGTTTCAAAGAACGTTTCATAAAGGTTGTTTGCGTTTTGATTAAAATTTAAGTGTTTCCAATGTAATATTGAGAGCTGATTTTTGAAATAATATTTGATGGTTTAAAAAAACGTTTTTTTATAACTTTATTTAATTTTTGTTTAGGCGGTTGGTGAGTGTTTGTGATTAGAAAAATAGGAAAGTGGTCAGAAATATCTGTTTTTAGGATGTCCAATTTTATATCACTGTTGAACAAGTCTGTAGAAATAATATTATCCAGCAAAGTTGCTGAATTTTTTGTTATTCTTGTTGGACGATTTATTAAAGGAATTGCTCCAGATTCAAAAATAGCATCATAAAAGTTTCAAACTTTGTTATCGTCATTGTAGTCAAAACAATTCATATTAAAGTCGCCAACTAAAAAGTTTTTTTTTTTTCGTTGTTACCTTTCGCAATAACTTATTGCTGTAAAAACATGCTTAAGTTTTCGCTCACGCCATCTGGCGGTCGATAACAATAGCTAATTAAAATGTTTTTTTCCAAGTCCTTACGGTCTTGTCACAGAGCACCGCGGAAGTGCATTTAATCAATAAGTTCACGCCTCCTTCCTTACCGTGATGCGAAAATATGTCCAGAGCTCGTTTCGAACATGGATCTCCTGCTTATAAAGCAAGCCCTCAAACCACAGCGCCACGACCACACAGTTATATGATTACTACACGCCCCAAAATCTACAAATGAAAAAGAAAAATTCACAAATAATTACAACTAATTTCAATTTTAAATAATACATTTTCAAATAATAAAAGCTCTCAGTATTAAACTAAATATTTACCGATTCTCTTAATTAGCTTGATGGAGTTTCTACGTTATTTATTCTTCATTTTTAACTATATCTTTATTTGGAATTTTTCTCTTTATTATATATTTATAATAAAGAAAGTAATAAATAAATAGGTAAATAAAAAAATTTATATTTGAAACCTGCAATCTAAAATATTTGCATTTATAGATTAATATCTTATTTAAACCGTCGCATAGTGACGTCTGAAAAACTTGATTTTTAACAGAAATTTAAAAAAATAAAAAACTTTATATTATAGAGTTTAATTTGAAATAATAATGTTCTTTTATTATTGTATATTTGTATAAGTTATTTATATTTGAAATTAGCATAAAATAAAATACTTATTTTCAATTTTAACTTCTTCCTTAAATTAAATTCCGCGTGCATATACTTAATCGATATGATTTTATTAAATCGTAATATACAAATACTATTTAAAAAAAACCAGCTGCATATATAATTGTTCGAACCAACTTTAAAGCTCCCAAAATATACCTATTTTATGTTCTCAAAAATACTAATGTCTCTGTTTTTGTTTAACTTTTATAAATACATTTTTAAAAGCATTTTTTTTTTCTTTATACAAATGTTACCTATATTACCTATTTTAAATATTCATTTTTATTTTATTTTTATAAAATATTCTATACATTTAACTAGACGAAAATACTTTAAAAATGCATATTTTGGTAAATTTAAAATCCATGTAAAATGCAAAGTCTGCTATTAAAACATACTTATAGTATATTTTGAACATCTATTATCGCTTAATAATTCCTAACATAAATTAACTGCATATAATTAAAATAAAGGAATTTATATTCATTGCAAACTATACCGTATTGAAACTATATTTGTGTTGTTTTTGAATACTTTTGTTTTTGAAATTTTTTATATTATTTTAATGTATTGACTTGTATATATCATAGACATGGAATTACTAGTAAGGTTATTCCATGCCTATGTGATTGCTGCCGAGAGCTTTGATTCTTTTAAATGAACACTGAGATCTTCTGATAATTATTAGCATTGGATTCCATCTTCCCAAGTGCCCTTAATTGCCTTGTCATTTCTTGGTTCCCAAAGTCTTTCTTTGAAGTTTTACAACAAAAGAGCAGGGAAATTTGGATGCAGCTGAGCCTATTCCAAGAAAAGCATTTGCAAGTTTAATGTTCACAGCTACAGTAAAAGCAACACTTTCGTGACAGAGCAACTCTAAAATTTGCTTCAAGTTTCTATAAGATTCTTTTAAGAAATCACTTCACTCCTGAGTCACAAAAGACTTGAGAAGATGCACCTTATAAAAAGGAAAGTTTATGCTTTAATTGTTCTTTTTGGCAATTCAATTTATTCATACAAACTTTGAAAAACCCACCACCTCCATCAATGCCTACTTTAATCATATAATCATCTGGGGGAATGTCTTGATGGTCAAGGATGTTTTAAACAAATCGGAAATGTCATAACAAAAAATAACTTAGCGCTGAGCTTTTCCACTTTGTTCATCACCATTTGAAACATCAAAGTCCATTATTGTAGAATTGTAGTATAAATCAAGTACTTTGTCTTGTTGACTTAATTTTCCTATCAAACGTGATATAATTCATTTGCGATCACTCTAAGTTCTGAAAAAAATAGCTGCTTTGTGAATTTGTTTCAAAGAGAGACCTAAAGTAGATTGCTATCTACTAATTTCCTCAGCAGATACAGGATTCAAACGGGAACGTGCTCATGATTTTTGAGAATTGATACTTGTAATGACTGTTAAATCTTTTCCTCTTGTTGCTAAAATTGCAATTTAATCTCCATCTCCAGATGCTGCAAATTTTATTTTGATTACAACAGAAGCAATAAGTTCTGCTGCATGGGGAACTTGGCCAATAACTGTCAGAAGATTTCCCCTTGTATCTTTAACTGTACAAGGGTTTGGATGTGCTATTTTATGACCAACTGGCTGCCAACAGCGCTGGCGCACTTTAAATTGTCCACAAGGTGATAAAAAATTTTCGGCTGCTATTGGAGGTCTTCCTCCCTAGACTTAAATGCGATATATTATGAAACAGCTAGCAAAACAGTTAAAACTTTTTCTGAACTTTTTGACTGTGACGCTTATGCGATACCTGAACCACTTTAATCTAAATAATCTGAAATCTGAAACAACCTGTAACCTTTACATCAAAAACTGTTTTTAGATTTGGATTTAGCATCGATTTAGTATAAAAACATCAAAATTTTTTCGACCACGACAGTTTTTGTTTTCCAACATTTTCTTAACTTGTTTCCGACACGACGCGTAGTGTCGGAAATAAATTGGGTTTTCTTGTGATGTCATCACAATAAACATAAAAAAAATAATTTGTAAAAGGCAATTGCGTATGTCACTAATTTTAATTTTATCAACAACTCGACTATTTAAAAATGACTTATATATCTTCTAATGGTGAGTTTTTTTTTTTGTTAAATTTTTAAGTCATACGTTGAATGTTTTTAAAGAATATTAAATATTTCCATTAATATTAAATTTATGATAATCAGTTAATATAAAGCTTTTGGTAAAGTTAATATTTTTAGCCCTAATTTTGACATATGAATACAAATTTTTGCAGTATTTTATGCAACTTTAATGAATAACTTAAACAAAAATTAAAATATTGCTTTCTTAAAATAAAATGAAAAATTTAATCATGTCAAAATGTTTTTAGAATTTCATTATACTTATAGGACAGATATTTAGTTACAAAATTTGCAATTTTAAAGGTATATAAACAGTTTGGTCACATAGTTTTCAGTAAGATTAAATCAATGTTGCACATCTGTTTAAATTTAAATTACATTGAAATGCATTCATAAAAGATATATAAATAACCCAAATCAAAAGTAAAACAAAATATAATTGTGTCTATGCTTTGAAAAAAAAAAAAAAAAAAAGAACTATAGATACATTAAAAATTAATTCATCTTGAATCTATTTATCTTGATGCTCTAATTTTTATTTATCTTAACTTTGAGCTCTTGCTCAAAGTTAAGATAAATAAAAATTATTTTTGAAACGGGGTTAAAATGAACAACCGTTTTGGGGTAACTTTGAACACAACATATTATTTCTATATCCTAGTATATGGCTATATTACCTTATTACAATGTGGGAAAAAACTGTTAAAGATCAAAACAGATAAAAGGAAGTTTATTTTACATAGAACCTATTTTTATTTAAATTAAGTTCATGTGAAAAATTAGCCTACTATGTTTAAAACCAAGTTTTTTCAATATATTAACATGATCACAATATTTACAAAACTGCTTAAAAACATAAAAAAAGAACATCAAATATCACTATTCTCAAATTCTTTAAATGACTCACACATGCTGCATACAAAATCGATATTTTCAATATTGAGCTCATAATATCATAAATAAGGCCACAACACTGGAGGTGATATGGTTTACTGCATTTATCGCATTGAATCCACACGTTTTTGTCTAACTCTACCTATTTTTTGTTACAGAAAGTACAATCATTAACAGTGTTGTTGTTTAGCTCTGTTGAGCTAGATAGAATTGACTCAACTAAAGAATGAATTATTTTACCTAGTGCCACCTTTGGACCATGTGGTTTGCCTTTTGCAGGTGGATTTGCACCTAAATTGTTTTTTAAAATATCTAAAACAGATTCGTTAAGAACCATAATGGTGTCTTTACCACCAGGGTCTTTATATTTTCCTGGAAGACATTTTATAACTTCTGCTATGTTCATAGGGTAGGTTCCCGTTGCTCTAAATCCGCTAATCAAAGCTACTGGCTGCAAAGTATTATTTAGTTTATTTATCTCCATTGATACGACTTTCTAATCTCCACTTCAAAAGAAAACTCCTCTATGACTGCTTTAATTCTCTAAAAGAAGCAACATCCAATGGTTGACAGAGATGAGTTCCATTTGGGGGCATTGTTATAAACCTAATGTTATGTTGAATCGTGGCTTCAATAACTTCAGGAAAAAAATGTGAACCAAGATAATCTCCAATCAACAGTACTAGTCCGGCTTTTAAAACAGCAACAAGCAAATATATTTCCATAAACCATCTGGTAAATATCCTACCATCAAACCATCCATTAGGGTGATGTCGTAAATAGTTCTAGGTGGTCCAACTTGAGTCCAATTCTGGTAAAGATTCATTGCTTTGTAAACCACCATGGGAAGCAAATACTCGCTGTGAAAAATGTTCTTGTTTGAACAATAACGGATTTGGATCCTTTTTTTTTATTGTCTGGCATATTGGTCTCATCATAGTGATAGATATTTTCTGGAGGTATATCCTTAAACTCTTTATACAAATTATCAAAATATTTGTTAAAAGTATCTTTGTTGACCATAGCTCTACTGTGCTTTATATTATCAGCAACCCTTTTTGTTAAGCAATGTCTCTTCATGAAAGACTGAGCTTAATCTACCCCAGGGATATTGTTTTTGAATCGAGCGTCACTTATACTTCTTTTATCATAATGTGATTTGACTAAAAGTCTTATATCCAAAGAATGAAATGGTACCCTCCATTCTGTCATATGTACAATTGTTTTGACAAATAAATTTTCTGTTTTACTATCAAGTCTGGTTTGTCGGCCGTTTTTTTTTGGAACTTGATCCCCAAGCTTCACTTTTTTGTGTAATGTTCCTAATGGAATATTGTACTTTTTTGTGTAATGTTCCTATGAAATATTTTACTTTTTTGAAATTTTCCTGAAGCTTAATCCGTGATTATTGACTTTAATTAAAGCTGTTTTTAAGTCTTTTTTTGTATAACTTGTTTTATGAGCTTTACTATTTTCCTTTCTCTTGTAATTTCGAGGCATAGTTCTAAAAATTAACAAAAAATAATAAAAAATCGTGTAAAAAAATGTCATTTTAAATGAACTTATAATCAGATACAGGCAAGTTATACATTAAATTGTTTTATTAGAACATTATGTACCTGAACGTGAATCGAGGTAACTTTAATGGCATTTAGATGAGCGGTTCTTAAGATATTCCTTGATAGGTGAGTTAATAACACGAACCACGTAGCTTGTACTGTTTTTATGCGATTGAGAAAAGGCGGAAAAAGAAAATTTTGAGGGCAGCCAAAAATTATCTTACACATATTATATTTAAGGCAAGTGAGTAAAAAATTTTTAATGTTTAGCTATATTTTATGTGCTTCACCATTAAGTAAAGCTAGTACTAGTGTTAATTTTCACCCCACTGTTCATATTCACCCTTGTTGACGGTACTCATTTTCTTTCACAGTACTTGTTATCATTTATCACAATATTCTTTATCTTTCACTGTATAATGAAGATCTGTGATCTATAAGAGAGATCTGTGAATTTTTTTGTAGCTTCATATCTATGTATAAAACATAAAAAGCATTTTCTTTTTATCTATCAATTTACCTGTAAATAAAAATATGTTCATTAGTATTCAAACAAATTCAAAAATTCTAACTTTAAAACAGTTTTGGTATAATAAAGTACTAAATATACTAATATACAAAGATGTAACTTTATAGAGTCTCAAATAGTGTATAACATTGATGCTTATTTTTAGCATGAAATTTGATTTGTTTAAGATTTTTTTAAAAAAGTAACTGGTTACACTTCCAAAGTATTTTTAAATTTTTTGCTTGTCTAACTATTGATAGACAAGCATAAAATATAAAAGTATTTTTATATTTTATGTTTGTCTATCCTTTATTAGGCTTGGACAGGAATGGTGTGCAATTGCACTCTGTATCTGACCACACTAGTAGTTTTTTTTTTTACAACTTGACCATGGCTATTTTGATGTTTTAACATTTTAAATGCAATAAAAAGTGTTACGTTATGAATAACTTTTAATCGTTGATCTTTTCTATAGTTTTTATTTTACTTGAAGGCTAAAACTAAAACTATATAATTAATTATTTTTTTAACGATTGTTTACATAAATGCACGTGTAAATTAACAAAAAATGTTAGATATAATTTTTTTTTATCTAGGCATGTATTTTTCATGAAAAATGTTTGAAGCTCTTCTCCCATGTCTTCCTAAAAATCTTTTAAAGCATTAATATTAGAAAGATTTTTTTTTAAGTTGCTTTAATTTATGAATAAGTTCAAAACCTTTTGCGACTACAAGCTTTTACACATTTTATTTGAATTATACAAGAATTTAAAATAACTTTATTTACTTATACTTACAGTACAATCTCTTTAATTCAAATCTCCTTAATAGACCTTTTTGCTGTTCCAAAATGCATCTTGGGTAATCAGGGCAAACAAACAAAAAAGTTAGTTTGATTTAGTGAAGAAAAGCTGAAGAGTTTCTAATTATTTTTAATGTTCTGCCACTTAGATTCAGCACTTACTAGAAAATATGTGATGTTTTATAAATTAATTTTTGATCAATAAAGTGAATAAATATAAATTTAAACTGCCAAACAACTGAACTGTATAATGCCAAACTACTACATATTTTTGTTCTGTTATTGGTTGTAATAATGACTTCATAGAAGTCTGCAAGTGTCCAGATAATTCATTCAAAAGAAGTCAATTTACAGTGCCAAAATTTTACTGTTTTCCTGATGACTTGGCAAAAAGCAATCTAAATCATGTTGTAAAAGATTTATTAAACTACATAGTTTCTAAAAAGTGCGTTCCCTTAATCATTTTGAGTTTGGAAAACCTATTTTGCTTTGCCTAATTCAATTATACATGAAAGTATCGTTATGCAGAATAAGAATATTCTACAAAAAGAAGAAAAACTTAAGTGAATTATTGCTATACTGTCATTAGATTGAGATAAACTTGATCACAACACTTTCTTAAAACTGTAGGAACATAAAGTCTACAGTTTAATAGACTAGACTTGTTATGGCAAAATCTCTAGTTATATTTGTATTTTCAAAGATTATGCACTATTAAAACCTGGAGATAAAGATTTACAATTTTTTTTCCTATATATGACTTGCCCAATAAAGCACACAAATCCCATTTTTGTTCTGGTAATTGTTTGGGTAATGTTTGTTGTGATTTGTGTTGAAGTTGCTTATTATATTTATTACTATTTATCTAGTGATTTTTTGTTGTTGTTGTTTATATATACTCTTTTTTTTCATCTTTCTGATCTCATTTATTCTCAAATCATATAATCCATTCATTTTGTTTTTACTTTTATGTTCTTGCATTTTCAATTATACTATTTTTCTTTAAACCGATTTTTTTTTAAATTTTATTTATTCTTTTATTTGTTTGTTTTTTGTTTTATTAGTTTATTTTATTAAGGTGTCACTCTATTGACTAGTTTGTAACTATACAAATGACACCGAACTTAATTTTATAAAATTATAAATGAATTGTAATTTTTTCAACTTCATGGTTAAATAAATGAATAAAAATATATATATATAAATATATATATATATATATA